CACACTCCCTTCCCACTTTCCTCTCTTCCCTCTTTCCCCCCTTCCCCACCCCACTCAGACCCAGACGTGGCGGAGGGGGGGCAGGGGGGGCGATTGTGTTCCCAGGCAGCTGTTCGCTTCTGGCCAGGGACGGGGGAGGGCGGGGTCCTGGTGGGTCCGAGGTCCTAGGAGGAGGGTGGGGATTCCCCTGGGCTGGGGGGACAGACACGTCAGCCCCCGTCAGCCCCCGCATCAGCGCGGACCGGGGGCGGGCGGAGGCTTAAATAGGCGGCGCTGGAGCCAGGATCCAGCGCGGTGGAGTAGCAGCGACGGCGGCAGCGGCGAGGGTCCGAGTGTCTGAATCTGGGAGTGCGAGCGGGATTTGTTCAAGTCCTGATCCTATCTGTTTGCGACCGAGTGAGTGTCCCGGTGGAGCGGGAAAAGGCTGGGGGGAGGCGATGGCTGCACCATATGGGTTGCGGATGGACGGTCCAGGTCAGGGTGCAAGGACCCTTAAGGATGAGAGCCAACTGCGTCCCCCACCCCCACACCGAGCATCTTACCTCACTCTGGGTTGGATGGGTGCATCCCTGGTCAGGCCTCCTACTCCACTGTCCCCGCGCCTTACGCGTCCATCCTGGTTCCTGGCCCTCCAGACAGGGTCGGACGCGATGACTTTGAATGGCGGCGGCAGCGGAGCTGGCGGGAGCCGCGGCGGGGGCCAGGAGCGCGAGCGCCGTCGGGGCAGCACACCCTGGGGCCCGGCGCCCCCTTTGCATCGCCGAAGCATGCCGGTGGACGAGCGCGATCTGCAGGCGGCGCTGGCTCCGGGCGCCCTGGCAACGGCGGGGACCCGGGTCCAGGGTCCAAGGCTAGATTGGCCCGAGGGCTCATCCGACTCCCTGAGCTCCGGGGGCAGCGACTCAGACGAGAGTGTGTACAAGGTGCTGCTGCTGGGGGCGCCTGGTGTGGGCAAGAGCGCCCTGGCCCGCATCTTCGGTGGTGTAGAAGAAGGACCAGAGGCCGAGGCCGCAGGTAAAGGACTGGGCAGCTTAGGGGAAGGAAGATCCCAGGGTCAGGAGTCATGAGGCTGAGGAGCTGGACTAAAAGTGACAAGCATGAGATTCCAAAGACACTTTCAGAATCATGCCTCTTCCCACCCATTCCACAGATTGGGAAAGTAAGGGATAAGGACCTCATAGCCTTTGATGTTGTTGTTAAATCGCTTCTGACCCATAGAGATCCTGTGTAAGATTTCTGAGGAGCCGGTGGTGAACTTGAACCGCCAGCCTTGCAGTTCAAACACACTGCAGTCCAGCGCATTAACCCCCAGCACCACACCTAGAGTAAAGGGTGGATTGCTCCCATGTGACCGCTCTTTGGGATGGGGGTAAGGATAGGGACAGTATTCCACCACCCCCTTAACCAGGGTCAACAAGAATTCAGTCAGAAGGAATTCCTAGGAGAGAAGGCCCAAAGGGATATGGCATTCTCCATTTAACTTAGGCCACTGTGGTCAGACCGCTGAGGGCCCAGGCAGCAGGAGGGTGGGAGCAGTGCAGCTCAAGACATTGTTAGCTTGAAGCTCCTGGAGAATGTCTTGGTGGAGGGCAGGCACACCATGTTCTCTATCTCTCACTTCCTGGCCCTGCCATTTCTCTCTACTCTCCTGGCCCTGCCATTTCTCTCTACTCACCCCATGGATTGCCCTGAATCAGAAGATACATGGAAACCATCTTTAAGTGTGTGGGGAGTGGAGGGGAGTGCTGGGGGAACTGAGGAGGAGCTAGGGGATGTGACCAAAACAGGGAGTCTGGCACTGGGGACTTTGAGCAGCCATCAAGTAACCTGACTACTGGCCTTCTGCTTTAGGGCACACGTATGATCGCTCCATCATGGTGGACGGAGAAGAGGCCTCCCTCTTGGTCTACGACATTTGGGAGCAGGTAGGATGCAGACGGAGACCCAGGGCAGGGCTGGGGGTTAGGGTTTGCTGGGAGTGACAGGCTTGTCGCTGGGGTGTGGGGACTGCTGGACAGGACTGTATGTATGTTCCTCAGGACGGGGGCCGCTGGCTGCCTGGCCACTGCATGGCCATGGGGGACGCATACGTCATTGTGTACTCTGTGACGGACAAGAGCAGCTTTGAGAAGGCCTCGGAACTTCGGGTTCAGCTGCGACGGGCGCGGCAGACAGACGACGTGCCCATCATCCTCGTGGGCAACAAGAGTGACCTGGTGCGCTCTCGTGAGGTCTCCGTGGATGGTGAGCAGGGAGGTGACTGCCAGTTGGACATGAAGGGAGAGCTTGAAGGGAGAGCTTGGCTTGTCCACGGTCCAGTCAGTCTTGGCTCAACTGGAGTCCCTGGGGACCAGGGACTAAAATTGTCCAGGAAGAAAGCCCCAGTGGCCACCAGTAGGATGTCCAAAGGCTGGACTGGGAAACGCCAAGTGTGACAAGGGAGATGGGTACTGCTGGGTGTTTGGGGCACCTCCGGGCCCTCCTCTGTTGTCCCCTTTGGTCCTGGTCTGACAGGTAATGAGTGAGGAGAATGTAGGGATTCAGACCAGGAGATCAGAGCCAGGGGTTCCAGGCCTGGGCCAGTCTCACAGTGTGCTTCCCCATTAGAAGACCCCTCCCATCTCGGGCTTGGCATCCTTCTCTGGGGCTCCAGGATCGAGCACCTCACAAACCCAGCAGTGACTTGTTGACATAGTCCCCTCTGTCCCCTATTTTACAGGGCCATTTATCATGAGACAACACCAAAGCAGAAAACAAGCAGTTCAAAAGAGTTCTCATTTGCCTGTGTTGGCCTCTGTAGCAGTCCTGTCTAAATAGATGTCGTTGTATGCTGTCTAGAGGATTCTTAGTAATCTTATATGATAGAGGAGAATTCTTCCATAGGGTTTCATAGGCTGTAATTTTTATGGAAAGGAGCGCTGGTAGTGCTGAAGGATAAGCACTGGACTGCTAATCACAAAGTCAGCAGTTCAAACCAACCAGCCACTCCATGGGAGAAACATGAGACTTTCTGCTTCTATAACGATCTATAACCTCAGAAACCCTAACAACAACTGCAGTCTTTATGGAAACAGACCACGAGCTTCTCCTGAGAAGCTGGATGAGTTCAAAATGCTGACCTTTTTGGTTAGCAGCCAAGTGCTTAACCATTGCACCACCTGTACTCCTTAATTAAGTAGAAAACATTAAACTATTTCAATAATTGAGTCTCCTTTTTGAAACCACCACCTTGTGAATTCCCTGAACATGTGCCTATTTGATGGCCCAACAGTGCCCAGGACCCTCAATTTGGGAGCTGGGGTCTCAGAGTTTCCAGTGGAGGATTCTAGGCGTGAGGTGATCCTCACCCATCCAACTTTTGTTCACCTCCCTTGTCTGTTTCCATGCACACCAGAGGGCCGGGCTTGTGCAGTGGTCTTCGACTGCAAGTTTATTGAGACGTCAGCCGCGCTGCACCACAACGTCCAGGCGCTGTTTGAGGGCATCGTTCGCCAGATACGCCTCCGCAGGGACAGCAAAGAGGCCAATGCTCGGCGGCAGGCAGGCACCCAGCGACGAGAGAGTCTTGGCAAGAAGGCAAAACGCTTCTTGGGCCGCATTGTAGCTCGCAACAGCCGCAAGATGGCCTTTCGGGCCAAGTCCAAGTCCTGTCATGACCTCTCGGTTCTCTAGGCCTCACAGCATTCATTGCAGTGGGCAGACAGATGGGCGGATTGGTGGGCCGGTCCAGCCAAGCCTCCCCAGGTGCCTTGGGGCTGACTCAGTCTCTTGGCCCCTCAGAACTGCCAGTCTGGCATCCCCCCACCTCACGGCCTTGGACACATGGTGCTGCCTGGGGCTTTGGCCCCTAGAGGCCGGTGAAGTGGGGCCCACAGAGAAGTGTGTGCAGGCCTGTATGCATACTGAGGCAGAAGGCTGAGCCCAGCCTGTGGGGTAGCCTCTCTTCTGGCCTGGGTAGGAGCAGTCCTGTGTGTGGGAACCAACTATGACTTCTCCCCTTGTCCACACCTGTGGTGTGCACTTCCAGGAGGGAGGCTGTTCAGAGTGGTGGCTATTTGTTTACATGCAATTTTTTTGTAATAAAGACTATTTCCTGATAGATCAGTACTATTGACTCTGTGTTTCCACCCATCTGGGGGCTGCATTAGCTGAAAAGGCTCCCAAGATGAGGGATGAGAGCTTGCTGTCCATCCTCACCCACACGACCCATGTGTGGCTTTGTCCTAATATTTGGGCCCAGGCTTGGCAGCTAGGGCAAAGGGCGCAGTGTGTGAGCAAGGCTTGGTTGAGGGTGGAAACAACAGGAGGAGACACAAAGCCCTCCTGGCCCCTGCTATCCAGGTCCTTTACCTTCTGCCCTGGGGCCTGGCACTGCCCAGCTGATGGAGGGTTCCAGTCACCCCCTGCACACAAGGGAAACTAACATCCTGACTCCTGCTTCAGTTCTGCTTCTCATCTCACAGCCAGACAAGCTTACAAACAAGTGTCCCTGCCCTGCTCCCTCTTGGGGGTCTGGGGATCAGCTGAGGTAGGGTGGCTATGGAAGATTTCTTCGGAGACTTTCCAGCTGGGGAGGGACTTGGCTGATTGGCCTAAGTGTGAGACTGAGGGAGGCATGCAAAGACCAACTTGACTCAAGATGGCTCCACCACCTTCTGGCTGGGGCTAGGCTAGCAGGGGGCTTTGCTGTTCTTTTCACAGTGAAAGGCCCATGGTACCAAAACATCCATGCTCAGTACTAACTAATTGGATCCTGGCAGACACTGCCCTGCCTGAAGTCTTGTGTTTGTGTAGGAACGTGAGCATATATGGACTTGTAGAGCCATACTTCTCTCCCCTACATCCTGACTTCAAGGTCCCCTCACCCTTCTTAGCACAGCATGCTTACCAGGACTTTATCTACATGGGTTCAGGAATGAGCATACCCTTTGGTGATGGCAGATAGGAACTGAAACACTTGCCTGAGCTTCCACAGGTAGGCAATGTCTGAGTGAGGTCTGATGAGATCTTCTCATCTCCAAAGCCTGGAGCAGCAAGGTGGGCGACACTTATGAGAAGGTTCCAGCCAGGGTCCACACATGCCTTCAATTTATTCATCCTATACACTGGCAGCCTTCACAACCAGATTAGAAACTTGATTACAACTTTTTCAAAGGCAGGAGGCAGTATAAGGGCCCCTCCTCAATGTGTGTATGTGTGTATATGTGTGTGTGTGTGATTCCTCTGAGACTAACCCACAAGCCCCCCAGGGAAGTGTTAACTGCCAAAACTGCTGCTGCTGGTCACCAGAGATCCCATACCATACCTTGAGGCTTGGACGGCATGGTTTCCTTAGAGTAGGTGCTGGTCAAGAGGACTGAAGAGGAACCCAGGCCTTCCTGGCTCTGCCTCTTACTAGTCATATGACCTTGAGCAAGCCACTCAGTCTCTCTGAGCCCCAGGGTGTGACATGAGGATGCCCCATCAAAGTGGAGTGAGTGAAATAATGAAGATAAATGCTCAGAGCAGTGTCTGCCGCAACACCAGGGCCACAGCCCTCTTAATATTTCCCCACCATGGCAATGAGACTGGGGTGCCCAAGTGATCCTAAGCTTGTGACAGACAAGGCTGGGGCAGTTGAGCTTCTAGCCAAAGAAAGACTAGCCAGATGTGCAGCTGGAAGGATTTGAGACCACGGGAAGCTCGGAGGACAGGGAGGGATCGGAGGCATCTCTGACTTCCTGCTCTCCTCCCTCCCCTCCAGTTCCCAGGCCCCAGAAGCTCTTCCTGGCTCTGCTTGGCTGCCCTCATGGGGGGAAGGGCCTCTGGTCAGCCCTGTAACTCCCTCAAGGTCACCTGGGCTAGCTCAAACTTTTCTTTCCTTCTTACATGCACGAGACAGTCCATTGTTTCAACCCTGTCCAGGCCCAAGGTCTACTGTGAGCATTTATGATGACTTGGAGGAGTTTATAGATCACTGTTCCACTGGTCCCACCAGTGCAGGTGCTGCCAGGGCATGGTGATAGCCAGGTCATTGCTGGGTGAAGTCCTGTCCTGGAGGGGCTCCCATTCTGATGAAGGAGAGAGACAATAATCGCCTAGTGCCCCTCTGTGCGCTGATAGGAACTACACATGGCAGAGAAGGAAGAATGCTTGCCGAGAAGGCTCCACAGCCAGCCTGGGAGCTCAGAGAAGGTGGCCTGGAGAAGGGAATATTTGAATGGAGTATTAGAGCAAGAACAGGTGCTCAGGAGACAGATGAAGGAGTGGGAAGGGAACTATAGGATAAAGGAACAGAGAGGGCGTGTAGCTACAGACACTGTCATAAGGTGAGGGGAAGGGAAATAGGGCCATGTCTGGAACCACAGAAAAAGAATTAGTGTCCAATCCACAGGCCCACAGAATACCTGCTGGGCTGTGTCTGGTGGAGAGACTGCCCAGCCCGATGATCTCCCACCTCCTGGGGCTGGCAGTCACGGATGCTGAGCACCCTCACTGGCTTTCCAGAGTCAATGAATAACTGCTCCCAGCATGCTACTGTGGGCCCAGTGGCGTTTTCCACTCTGTGTAAGTGTGGCCGGACCGCCTACCTGCAAGTGTCCGCCCTGCCCTACCCCATCCGGCCTGGCCTGGCCAGAGGCTCCCTGGAGAAGAAGCCCCTTCACCTGGCAGCTGGACCTGGAGCCAGCCTTAGGCACTAGTGGGTGAGGGTCTGGAAACAAAGGGATGGCCAAGGCAAGGGCTGGGGTGGTAGTGGTGGTGAGGGAAAACTAAGGTGGATAAAAACAGCAGCTTAGAGAAACACTGCTCCATCATCCTGCTGTTCTGGGGAATCCTTCCCTGAGATCCAGAGTGGCTGTTGATGCTGTGTCCAGCCCTGTGCCGAGCGCTGGGAAATGCTGAAGGGGGTGGTCTTGTGGCCAGTAGGCAGTGTCTGCCGGCAACTGGGGGAGTTCAAACAGGCCTGGCGACCCTGAGCAGAATCCTCTGTTCTGTTCCAGGAGGAACCTTCTGTGGTCAAGGCCTCAGTGACCTTGGCCAGGCCCTGCCCCTCCTTTCAGCAACATGAGGGGACAGCAGGAAGTGATCCTTAGAATTGTCAGGGTCTTTCCAACTTTGAACTTTTATAATTCTTCGGGTCTGCTGGGAAATGATGACTTTGGGATCTGAGAGTTGGGGGCGCTATGATAGGAAGGAGACAAAGGTCAGGAGGTGAAACTCCCTTTCCGGGGAACAAAGTCGAAAGGCAAAGTGGTTGGACCTGGGGTCTGGGTGGGCCTGGCCAAGAGTTGGACTCTATTCTACAGCCCAAGGGAAGCTTCAGGCCCTTTGTGGGAGAGAAAGGCACCCAGTCTGAAATGAGATTCCTCTGGCTGTGTGTACAGGATGGATTGAGGCAGAAGACAAGAGACGGGGTGGGTGGGAGACAGTGTGCTCATTGCTGGGTGGGAAGAGGCAGATCTGAGAACTGCTAGGGCAGAGGAGAAGGGGAAGGGGCAAGAAGAAACCTGACTGCCTATCAGTGACCAGGGAGGAGGAAGGATCAGTTGGGAATGTTGTACCCGCTGGGCTTGGGGAAGCATCGCCTGGTGCTGAGTAGGGATGAGAGGGCAGAGATGCCTTGGGGGCTGGTAATGAGAGAGCCTCCTCCCTAGTAAACTGGTTTGTATCTGTACCACCATGTCCCTCAGGTCTGTCCTCACCATGGACCCTTCCTGGCTGTGGCTGCTCTTCCTCTCTGTCCCCCAGGTGAGCTGGGCCCCACCCACCTCCTTCAGGATTGACACCCAGGCTCCCACTCCACCTTGACCAGATGCACTGACCACAGGGGACAGGGAGAATGCCAAAGTTGGTTTATTGAGGGATCAGGGGGTCAAGGGCCAGAGAGTGTGACCAAGCCCAGGGAAGGGGTAGAAATCCCCTTGCCTTGTGAGACCCCCAGCGCCTAGCCTCTGGTGCTAAGGTGTGGATTTTCCCTCAGGTTCTTCTCGAGGCCCAGCCTGCAGAGTTGCATGTGGAAGTCCCGGAAAACTATGGTGGGAATTTTCCTTTGTACCTTGCCAAGGTAAGTCTGAGAGCAGCAACTTTCCTCCTCTCTAAAACCCTGCTCTCCAGAGAATGTGCTTAACAGTGCCATGACGTTTACGATTTTAATCCCGGAAAAGTGGAGCTTGAAGTTAAAGATTAAAATATTTCTTAGAAAGAAGGCCAGGGAATACTAAGTACCATCATTCACAGAGGACAAACCTCTGGCTCTGGACCTCAGCCCTCTACTGGCTGTGGAACCAAAGGCAAGTGTCAGTCCTCTCTGAGTCTCACTTTCCCCACATGTGGTGTGGAGCTGTGGATTGCAAGATCGGTTTGAACCACAAAGTCGCTGGTTCAAACTTACCAGCTGCTCCTTAGAAACCCTATACAGGGTTACTATGAGTAGGAATGGATTCGATGGCACTTAACAACAACAACAATGAAAATGGGGCCATTGGGCATGGGGCTGGCATGCCCTGGACTTGGCCCCAACTCTCCCACCAGTTGCCACTGCCCCGTGAGAAGACCGAGGGTCAATTTATGCTGTTGGCAGACTCGGGCATGGTAACTGAGGGCCCCTTTGCTGTGGATTCAGAGTCTGGCTTCTTGCTGGTGACCAGGGCCCTGGACCGAGAGGAACAAACAGAATACCGGCTGCAGGTATGGCTGGGCCATGTGTAGGGGACATCAGTGAATGCAGGGCTGGACACTGACTACCTTTCCATGCCAGGTGACCCTGGAGACAGAGGATGGACATGTCCTGTGGGGTCCACAGCCTGTGCTTGTGCATGTGAAGGATGAGAATGACCAGGTGCCCCATTTTTCCCAGACCACGTATAGGGCTCAGCTGAGCCAGGGCACCAGGCCTGGTGAGTAAGTAGAGCAACTAGAACACAGCAGGGTTAGGTGGATTCTGAGGGGAGCAAAGAGATGCCCTCTCTCACTTCCAACCCAATCTTGCTGCCCTCTATCCTGCAGGTGTGGTGCTGTGGGTTAATGCGCTAGGCTACAAAGTTGGTTTGAACCACAAAGTTGATGGTTCAAGCTCACCAGCCCTTTCTTAGAAATCCTAGACAGGGTCACTATGAGTCCAAACTGACTTTACGACACTTAACAACAACAACCCTGCTAAGGGTCCTCAAGTGGGTCCCATCCACTCTTGGCCTTAGTTTGCTCATCTGTGAAGTGGGCTTGAAAAGTCCTGGCTCACCTCCAGAGTCCTGACATGCTGGATATGAAAGAAGGGAACAATGAAAAAGAGAGGGAAGCAAGAGAGGGGGCCTCTCCCCATTCCCTCCATCTCTTATGGTTCACCCTCCTCCAAATACCAGGTGTTCCCTTCCTCTTCCTTGAGGCTTTTGATGGGGATGAGCCAGGCACAGCCAATTCAGATCTACGATTCCACATCCTGAGTCAGACTCCAACCCAGCCTTCTCCAAACATGTTCCAACTGGAGCCCCAGCTGGGGACTCTGGCCCTCAGCCCCATAGGTGAGTCTAAATGTGATGGAGAGGGAGGGTCAGGAGAGCTGGAGAAGGTGGCATCTGAACTAGAACAGGGTGGGTCAGAATTTAAGAGACAAAGGAGAAGGAAAGTGCATTCTAGGTGGAGAGAGAAGCAAGGAAAAGGTTTGGTGTAAATGGAATACCTCAACCCTATGTTCTGGAGACTGGGACCTGAGGGACCAGAATAGAAGAGGTCTTAATGATTATAGCCTTGGAGTCTGCCGGTGGATCTGGGAATTTAGACCAAAGCCAATCTTACATCCACCCATCCAGCCACCCATTTTCTTATTCATCACCCAATCACCCATGCACTTCAGCTATCTATCCTGTCATCCATCCAAACTCTTACCCATTCACCCACCCAACCCCCTATCCATCTACTTAGCTACCAATCCATTCATCCAACCTGTCCATCCATGCCCCAACTCCATCCTGGTCATCACTGTCTACCCATATGGAAATGGCGTTACACACTGCCCAATCCTGATTTGATGTTCTCAATGGTGCTAAAAGCTCTTCTTCTCATAATCATTGCAGTGAAACAATGAGTGTAAAATTGATGTTCCCCCATGTAAACTATCACTCAATTCACAATAAAGAAAAAAAAGTTCTTTTCATCCGTTAGCCAAAAGAGTATACTGAATACCTGCCATGTGTCAAGCTTTGTATTTGGTACTGTGATGAAAAGATGCCCTAGCCACTGCTCCCTGGCTCCCTGCTCTGCTGACCACCCTACCCCTCCTAGGAAGCTCCAGTCTAGACCTTGCCCTGGAGTGGCCCTACCAGCTGCTGGTACAGGTCAAGGACATGGGTGACCAGGCCTCAGGTCACCAGGCCACAGCCACCATAGATGTCTCCGTAGTAGAGAACACCTGGGTGCCCCTAGCGCCCATCCATCTGGCAGAGAATCTCAAAGTCCCATACCCGCACCTCATTTCCCAGGTGAGTAAGTGGCTGTCAGCAGCTAAAACATTCTCATGGAAGGTCAAGTTGGGCTTGAGATTCATGAAGACCTGGAATCCGGGGCCCAACTCGACCCTGGTTCCTTCCCATCTATGTTCCTCTCTCAACTATTCCCATCAGTTCCCACCATGGAGTGGGGCAGTCAAGGGCCTGGGACAGAGCCACAGTCCGTCTCCTGCTATCCTCTGACAAGCACTGCTTTTTGCTCTGGCCTCCTGAGCTTGCTTGAGGCTTCTTAGAACGGCTGCCACCTCCTGTTGTGATAGGGATTGCCACTCAGGCCAGGAATGTCTCAGGCCTCTTGTAGGAATGCCCTGGGGTCAGGCCCAGTCTGAGAGGGTAGAAAACGAAGTAACCTAGTCATTCTGGCATTTTAGGCAGCGTTATCATGGAGTTTCCACAATAACAAATGTCTCCAAACAGAAGGACCCCACCCAGACCCAGGGAGGGTAGGGACTTGCCTGGGGTCACACTGGCTCCCTACCCAGGAGGTAGTTGGGGCACAGGGCTGACATGGACTGCTCCTACCTCTTGACCTGGGGTGCCCTCATTTTGTGTCTCCTTCCAGGTACACTGGAGTGGGAGTAATGTGCACTACTATCTGGAGAGCCTGACTCCAGGCCCCTTTGATATTAACACAGAAGGGAAAGTCTATGTGACCAAGGAGCTAGACCGAGAAGCTCAGGCTGAGGTGAGGTGAGAGGGAAGCCAGGGTAGTAGACTGGGGGCTGCTTTGTTATTATTGGGTTGGCTTCTGGGATGGCATGTCCCCCACAGACCCTGAGGCAGTGGGAACTCAGATCCTGGTCATGCTAGATTGTCCTAGATCCTTACCTGAAGCCCCTCACTGCCTTCTATAGTACCTACTCCAGTTTGGGGCTCAGAATACCCATGGAAAGGACTATGCAGAACCTCTGAAGCTGCAGGTAGTGGTGATCGATGAGAATGACAACGCACCTGTCTGCCCCCCACGTGGTCCCCCAATCAGCATCCCTGAGCTCAGTCCCCCAGGTGAGCTGTGGGCCTTGATGGGGATGGGAAGAGAGGTGAAGTTCCTATGAACCCAACCATCCTGTCTGTCTCTTTTCTCCTTGAGCAAGGCTCAGCCTCAGTCACCCAGATCAATGTTCCAACCCCAGGACACTCACACAAGCTCAGGTTCCACCCAGCATAGAAGAGAAGTGGGCCTCTGGGCTGGACCACAGTTCCACATAGATGAGTGCTCTCTTGCAGGCACAGAGGTGACCAGACTGTCAGCAGTGGATGCAGATGCCCCTGGCTCCCCTAACTCCCTCGTTGTGTATCAGCTGCTGAGTCCTGAGTCTGAGGAGGGGGTGGAAGGGAGAGCCTTTGAGCTGGACCCCACCTCAGGTGTCGTGACACTGGGGGCTGCCCCATTCCAAGCTGGTCAGAGCATCCTGCTTTCAGTGCTTGCTGCTGACCTGGCAGGAGAAGAGGGAGGTAAGTACCCTGATGATGACCCGGCCCCCCTGCCCTCCATTCTTGTCTTGGCCTTCCCAACATGTCCTCCCCCACCCCAGGCCTCAGCAGCACATGTGAAGTCACTGTCTTGATCAAGGACATCAATGACCACGCCCCTGAGTTCACCACCTCCCAGGTAAATAGGAGCAGGGCACAAGACCTTGGGAAGAGAGCTGATAGGGGCTTATGACCTCTCCCCATCTCTCCAGATCGGGCCCATAAGCCTCCCTGAAGATGCAGAGCCCGGGACTCTGGTGGCCACACTTAGGGCCACTGATGCTGACATTGAGCCTAACTTCCGCCTCATGGACTTTGCCATTGAGGCAGGCAATGTGGAGAGGACCTTTGATCTCGAATGGAAGCCAGACAGTGGTCATGCTCAACTCTGGCTCCGAAAGGTGAGGGGTTGATGGGTGTGTGGGGTGGTGGACACACACATACACACACACATGCCCGCACTATGACCCAGGCCCTACTGATTCCAGAATCTCAGCTATGAGGCAGCTACAAGCTACAAGTTGGTGGTGGTGGTGCAGAGTGTAATGGATCTGGTAGGGCCAGATCCCGGCCCAGGATCCTCAGCCACAGTGACTGTGCTGGTGGAGAAGGTGGTGTCACCCCCCAAACTGGACCAGGAGAGCTACGAGGCCAGTGTGGGGGTCAGCACCCCAGCTGGTTCCCTCCTACTGACCATCCATCCTTCAGACCCCAACAGCAGCCCCCTCAGGTGAGCTAACAGGCCAACCTCTTACCTGGGGTCCTTCTGTTTGGAGGTACTTGTTACTATGGAAATTCTGGGGTGATACTCCCTTGCTCCTTAGGGATGGTCCCAGGACCTCAGTCACATTATTTAGGACTAGAATATTCCTTAAACCATGGTTAATGCTAAAGTAGTAACTCCTGGTAGTTTCAGGGCTGGGTGGGCTGGGTGGGGTTTGGGGGTGGCTATTTGAACTCCATGGGAACACAGATTATACCTCCCCATGCTCTCCTGGCTCAGACCCTCCCCTAGGCTTCCATCCAGATTGCAACATAGACAAGGCTGCTTCCAGACTCTGTGCCCACCCAGGCAGCTTTGAGGGGTGCCCTGGAACCATAGAGCACAATGTTCCAGGCTCTAGTAGTGAGAGGCCCACTGTACCCATGGTCCAAGCCCCTCAACAAAATCAGGCTCTGTCCTCCCTGGTTTGGAGCTGTTTGTCAGCCCTGCAGACATGCCTGCCCTCTCTGTCCTGATTCAATCACCTTCCAGTCCCTGCAGCAGGGGCGAGGGTCTGGGAACCTGACCACTGCTGTCACCCTTGAGCCACAGAGAGGCTGTAGAAGTTGGGCAGGTCACACATCCCTGGGGGTCTCTACACAAGACCCCAAATGTGGTCCCAGCTCCCCACTCCCCCTTCCACCTTCTCTGGGCTGCAGGTTCTCTCTGGTGAATGACTCAGAGGGCTGGCTCTGCATCAAGGAGAGTTCCGGGGAGGTGTACACAGCTCGGTCCCTGCAGGGTGCCCAGCCCGGGGCCACGTACACTGTCCTCGTGGAGGTCCAGAACGCAGGTATGGTCCGGTAGTGAGGGGAGCTTATGGGAGGGAGAGCAAGCCTCAGACAGGAAGACTTTTCAGGCATCCACCAAGCCCCAGGCAGGAGGGTGGAGCAAGGAGAAGGCCTACGGTGACCCTTAGGATGGTCTACACCAAGGTGGGTAGGCCTGTCCTCTGCTTCCCCTCCCAGACCAGTTCCTTAGCTTGGCATTAGAAATCCCCACCCCTACCCCTGTCCTTTAGCTCCTGGAGGGCTTCTCAGGGTATCTGACTTCAGGGGCAGAGGGTATGGGACTAGAGAAAGAGAGCACAGGGCTGAGGAGGTAGGAGTCAGGCTGGGTTGGGTGCCGGGAGGCAAGCCTGAATGGGACACTGAGGCCAGGTGTGAGCACACTCGTGGCAGAACGCTGAGCTGGCCATAGGTGAGCATGTCAGGAATCGACTTCAACTCTGCCCTGGGCTGTCCTGTGGTACAAGACATTCCCACCTGGTCCACCCTGGCATCAGTGGCAGGGGCAGAGGGTGGTGGTGAGGGCAGGTTTGGCAGCCAGAAAGGTGCAGTGAGCCTGGCAGCTGTTTGGATAGGAAAGAGGGCAGTGCATTGTGGGAAAGAGGATATGGAGTGATGGTGGGCATGGAAAGAGGGCAGAGTGGAGGGGGCATATGGTGAGAGGAAGGTCAGCAGGGAGCAGGGGGACTTGTCCAGGAACTCCAGAGTTCACCCTCACCCCCACCCTGGCCTGGACCTGCGTACTTTTGCCTCCTCTGTAGATGAGCCAGGACTGAGCTCCTCTGTGACCCTGGTGCTCCGCTTCCTGAAAGCATGGCCAACCCCCGCCCTGCCTCCAGCCCCTGTTCCTGTCCGACACCTCTGCACACCCCGCCAGAATCACGGCGTCGTCATCAGTGGAGCCAGAGGAGTCCCTGACCCGGCCAGTGGGCAGGGTCCCTACAGCTTTGCCCTTGGCTCCAATCCCACAGTGCAGCGGGATTGGCGCCTCCAGGCCCTCAATGGTGTGTAAGGGGAGAGAGTGACACTTGGAAGTGAGATGCTCTTCCACTGTGATGGTGGGACTGAGCTCCTGCCATCCTGGGTAGAGGCTCTGCTCACCCGCCTATCCCCTTGACAGGTTCCCATGCCTACCTCACCCTGGCCCTGCACTGGGTAGAACCACAGGAACATGTCGTCCCTATAGTTGTCACCCACAATGACCAGATGTGGAAACTACTGGTTCGAGGTGAGGCCAGGGCCCAGGAGCAGCCACAGTGGGCAGCCTGGGGTTCCTGGGGAGGCTAAGTGGTACCATGCAGGAGAAGGGGGCTGGGTTCACACAGACAGCATATGCCTGTGCACACCTGAGCATTTCTGGCTAGGCACGCACACACACACACCTCTGTGCATGCAGGCATCTGCACGGAAAAGCATACTTACCAGCCAGTGGGCTAGACTGGGGAATCCTAGTAGTTGGTGGGCCCTCCCTACCTCCCTGTACTTCTCTCCCTGCCTCTCAGTGGTCGTGTGCCGGTGCACCGTGGAGGGTCAGTGCCTACGCAAGGTGGGCCGCATGAAGGGCATGCCAACGAAGCTGTCTGCAGTGGGCACCCTCGTGGGTACCCTGGCAGTGATAGGTAATGGAAGCTAAGCTCCTATGGGGGGAGCCTGTGGATGGGCGGAGCCACGGACTTCACTAATCAGTGCCCCCAATCTCCTGGCCCTCCAGACTGTTGGTCCCTTTTGTCATAGTCATTATCATTGATAACCACACTTACTATTGCTACAATATGACCCATTTACTGTGGGTCACGCCCTGTGCCAAGCATGGATTATCTCATTGATTCCTCTCCACAACTCTATGAAGTAGAACCTGGCATCTCCCCATTTTCCAGATGACCTCACTGAGGTTCAGAGAGGTTAAGTAACTTGTCCAAGGTTACACAGCCAGGGTGTGGCATAGCCCAGGCCATTCTAGCCTGATTCCTCAGCCACACTTCTCAGCTCCCCCTAACCGGATGGGAAGGTTCCTTGTGGGTCCTAGCACTGAGCTATAATGTGACTTTCTCTCCAAGGTCCAGGGAACAACTCAATGGCTCCCAGAGGATCCCCACCAAACTTGTCCCTCAGAGAAGGGGAGAACTGAAGGCTGGAGGCCTAGTGAGGGCCGGGTAGGCCAGGCAGTCAGGCTTATTCAGGCCTGGGGACCACAGTGTCACCTAGTTCAACCTTGGAGACTATGCCTAGGAAACTATGCCACATTATGAAACCAGAAGTCCCTACTAACAGACAAGTTCCACTACCTCTTCTGAGGGCTGATGTGTCTCTCTTGGACCTGTCAGGTTTCCTCCTCATCCTCATCTTCACCCACTTGGCCTTGTCGAGGAAGAAGGACCTGGACCAGCCAGCAGACAGTGTGCCCATGAAGTCAGTGGTCTGAACAGTTCTGGCAGCCACTGCTCCATCAAAATCCACTGCAGGGGTGTGGGGAGGTGGCATCCCAGAAACAACCAGAGCCAGGACAGAGTAGACACCCCTCCACCTGTCCTGGGGTGAAGTCATCAATGCTCACCAGGCGTGGACACAGAGCCTGGACCTGGCCATTATAGGCTGCCTGTGGGAGCGAATGCTCTAAGTGGCGGCATGTTAAAGTGGTGGATAATAAAGTCTCAGGAAGCTGAACAAGAGCCCCACAGGACTACTATGCTTGTATCTGTGTGTGTGTGTGTGCATGCATGTGTGAGTGTGCACACAACTGACATTCATCCCTTCTCCTCCTGCTCTTCTGAAAGGAATGGGGGCTCAGGGGACAAGCCTGAGATCCCCTGTGGTGAAGGTCTCTTGGAGCTTGAGCAAGAGGGGACATCTTCACTGGCATCCAGAGCCCACTGGTCACCTTGTCCAGGTGATGGATGAGGAGGGGAATCCTGGTGAGGGCCATTTCTGTGTTTCCTAGGTATCTATGGGAAGGCACAATGTTGTGTGTGCCTGTGCTTGAGTCATCTGCAGGCAAGGATGGGCTGAGGTCCCCCAAGTTTCAGGAAGGGTTTGGGCAGGAACCTTAAGAGGTCCATGGAACTGGAACAGGAGAGCTGAAGCTGGGGATGGGTCTCTTGTCCCAACAGGCCCCAAGATACTTTGGGGTTTTACACAGGGGCTGGTAAATGCATAGTGGTAGGTTTCAGAAAGTCAGAGGAAGAGGAGGGACTGAAACAGACATCAGTCCATGGGACAGGAATTCCTGTGACCCACCCTTGAACTCATCCTGCTTCAGGTCCAGGATGGAGCCATGGTCCTAGCACCCTGTTGAGTCCTGACCACACCTCCAGACCAACCTCCAGTCCCTGCCCCTTGACTGACCCTAACCACATGCTGATTCCTTCACCCCTATCCCAACAGTCTCTGGGGGATAGGGTGGGACTTGCTGTCCCAGGCACCTTGAGCTGATGATGGTAAATCACGGGGAAGGGAGAAAAACAACTTCTGTGGGGCCCAGGTCCTATTTTTAGGAGATAATCTCTCCACTCCTGGCAGATTCTGTGGGACAAGGGCCAAGTCCAGCCAAGAGAGACAGGGCAGGCATGGGGTTGGCCTAGTGGAACCTGGAAGCCTCAACGAAGACCCCAGTCCAGGGATGCGCTCTGAGACACTCCAGCCACCCCCACCCCCCCACCCCCAGAAATCCTCATTGGAGACTCTACCTTACCTCAAGTGGACTTCCTTGCTCATCACAAGATCCTCAGCTCCCACTCAGAAGTCCTCAAAGTACAAATCTCTTTGAAAGCAGCAGCCCATCTCATTCTCCATCAACCTATGAGGGCAGATTTATTGGCTCTTTTTCCCAGTGGATGATACAGGGAGGTCCAGGGCTGCAGCTGGGAGTCATGGGAGCTGGGTGTAAGGAAGGATGCCTAACTGAGACCCATGATGCTTCTTCAGAGGTGTCTTTAGCTGGTACCTGTTGCCGCAAGATCCCAAGAAGAGCCTTAGAGATCTCCTGGGTGGGCAGCTCCTTGTTGGATAGCTGGGAAAGTCCATCTTAAAGAGGTGGAAGGATCTCCCCAAGTTCATAGAGCCAGGGAGATGCAGCACCTGAGCTCAGACCCTGGAGTCATCCTGCTTTCTGTGTCCTTGTTCTGGATGGATGGATGGGGTAGGTCAATGGTTGGGTAGGTTGGGTAGCAGGTGGACCAACAAAGAGAAGAGTGGACAACAGGGAAAATCAAGACTTCTGCCCCAGTTTGAGGGCTTCTTCCTTGGACCTGTAGGCCCTAGCCCACTTTCTTACTGTCACTGCTGGGTCTGATCACAGGTCCACAAGCCCCTTCCATGAGGACCATGGAGGGCTCCATTTCCTTGAGCCTATTTGGCATAAACCTCTCCTTCCATCCTCACCCTGCTTCTTAGAGGAAGGGGAGGCCCTGAGACAGGATAGGACTTGTTCTGGGTCACAGAGAGTGACAGCTGAGGTTGGCACTAGTCTTTGGGCACAGCAGTGGATCAGTGTGTTTTTATAGGGATTCATGCTAGTGAGGCCAGGCCCTCTTGCTAGGACAAGTTGGGGGATAATGGGGTAACTGGGTGATTCTGTGTGGATAGAAGTCTGAGATCTATATTTGGCTTTGTTCTTACTGTGTGTTCCCAGGCGGGTCGCTTCACCTCTCTGAGTCTCAGTTTACTAGTTAATTAAATGGATCTCACTTCCTGGGGCTTAAGAGGACTTTCTGAGCTCACCCTTGCAGTTGATGTTTAGCACAATAGGAACTCAATAAACATGGTAGTTTCCGCAGCCTGGACTATAGGTAGAAGTCCCAGTTGCTTACTCACACACACTCCCCAGAGGTCTTGTGTGGCCCTGGCTTCCAGGAGGGGATGTGAGAGGGACCCTGGCCCAGTCCCAGCCCTTCTGAGTGACCCTGGGCTAGACACACCCCTCCAGTTTTGGCTTCTTTCTGGCTACAAGCTTTCTCTCATTTTATGATTTTTAGGGGTCTCATAGGGCTGGAGCTAGAGGGGACTGTGGAGTGGGACTGCCTGGGGGTTACTGCTCCCCCTCTCCCAGGCCCTGTCTAAAAGTGCAGGGCCAGATCAAAGGGACCCAGCACTGAGACTCGGGAGGCGGGCTTGGAAAGAATGTAAACATGAGGATATTTTTAAACTTTTTCCAACTCCAGTGATTAGGGTTCTTGAAGTGAGAGGCCTAGAGGTCAGTCTGGCCCTCACCCTTATAGAAAGAAACAACTTTGGAATCTCAGAGACCCCATACTCACACCCACTTACACCCCCACCCTACACACTCACTCTAACTTGGGACTCAGCATTGAAGTTCTTCCTGTGGTTTCACCTCCAAGTTTCCAGCGGCTACTTGTGTGAGATCTATACTTGGCATGTTTATAGTGTGACATGTTTATAGTGAGAGGGCCTCAGAGATGAGGAAGGACCCAAAGGGTTGCAAAGATTGCTGGGGGACTAACTGGCAGGCCCAGAGTTCCTGGGCTGGGAGACCCCGTGATAGTCCTGCCACTCCACATGTATGCGTGCATAAGCACACGTTTTGTCTGTGCTGAAATCTGGTCCATGTGATGTATGTGTTGAACGTGTGTGAGTGTGTGAGTAGCTCACCAAGCTTCCCCTCAGCCCACTCCTTCCTCCACTCGCTAGTGTCTCTTGGGTCAGTGGATGTCATGGAGGACAGGAGGCAGGTGCCTGTCCTGCTGACCCAGTTCTGAGGGTCAAAGAAAAGAGTTGCCAGAGAACAGGAGAGGGATGAGTAAAGTGAGGGGGCTGGGAGCAGGGGGCGAGGAGGCTGGGCTAGAGCCGTGTCTGAGCCAGACAGTGAGTCAGACTGTGAGAGTGCGGAGTCACTGACGTGAGCCTGGAGACTTGGTTACCTTCACTGCTTCCTAGGAGTCACAGTGACAGGAAGGTGGAGATGAGACTCCCTAGATCCTACCCGCTTCCGGTGTTACAGTGGTGAACACTGTGGGTTCCATGACAACAGCTTCTTTCTTCAGAGTGACGTGGTCACCCTTGCACACGTGAACACAATAGCACATATCCACAGGCATGTCACAAGGGACATCATGCAAGAGACTCAGCCACAATTTACCCACCCCCACCCCCACCCCCACCCCGTGATCACATCCATGGACTCCCACACATGGCAACCTTCAACCCATCTACCTCCTCAGTGACCAGAAAATCAAAGGGTCAGAGTTCAGGAGCCAGGCCAGGCTGCAGTCACCAGGACATTGAGGGGCCCTAGTGCCTCCACCCATCAGGGGCCTCAGCTCTGCTTTGTCCTGCTGATGGACCCAGAGAGAGAGAGTGTCCAGCTGCACACTCCTCACAGAGGGCAGGGCTCAGGTCCCAGGCCAAGAGCTACAGGATCTGAGGCAGCCGACAAGCTCAAACTATACCACAAGGGTTTGCAGGACTTTGGGCCAGGACAATGGGTGGCTAGGACTGATGGGGAAGAGGGTCCTCTCTCTATCTAGGGGTTTGAGTTGCCTGGTGTGGATGTTGCTGTGTTGGCCCAAGTCGTGTGCTAACCCACCGACCAGCTCTGTTCTATTCTTGCTGCTGCGAGGTGGCAGTAGAGTCAGAGATAGTGGCTGGGTGGGAGGGAGTTATGGGCACTGGCCCCTTATCTGACACATTCCCTGGAAACTTGGCAGGGGCTGTCAGCCTCTGGGGCCCCAGGCAGGGTGGGCAGTGAGGTGGTCACAGGGACAGGATGAGAGGTTGTGACTTCTGCAGCCAGGCAAGGTCTCATCAGAACTGCCCTGTGGGGGAGGCGGGGGAGCTGTTCTGGTAGGATTTCTCTTCCTGTGGTCATCAAGATCCTTGAATCATCCTTTGCCTATGGCCCAGTCCAACCTAGAATATTCCATCTCTGAGCTCCTGACCTGACAAAGAGCAAGGTGTTGGCTTCCCCAGTGAGGGCTGTCTCTATGGAGAGCACTGGACTGTGAACCCTGGAGGTCCAGTTAGCCACTGTCCTGCCCTAGTTATATGATCTGGGCAAGTTTCTTCCCCTCCCTGAGCTTCAGTGTTCTCATCACTTTTCCAGGTTGTTGTGGGCCGACGCTCTTAGTGTGCATGTGCGTGCACACATGCATATGTGCATATACTTGGGGGGTCTGGGTGAGAAGAGGGAGGCACATGGGCTCCCCATTGTGAAGGCCCCCGCCCTATAGATTTTCCATTGGCACGTCGGCACCCTCTCCCCCAGAATAGGTCCTACGAGCCGTGTACGACAGAGCCCAGACTGAACGGCCTTTTTTTAGCTGACCTTTGATTGTCAACTTTCAAGCAGCTGCTATTTCCAGCCCCAGCGCCTGGAAGAGTAGGGCCAAGTGGGGGCCAGAGTCAGATCACTGGGCCTGGCTGGCTCTCGAAAGGCATCCCCAAGAGGGAGCAGAAACGCCTTCATGCCCA